CCTGAATAAAATAACAAATTATATTTGTTTTTTGCATATTTTGTAACTTTATATTGCATTTATAGAGCATATTTTACAGTTTTTATAGGCAAATTATACTGCATAATATTTAGTTGTTTAAGGGCCGTTCTTACAATGTCCGGTTAAGTGTCGGTTAAGACTAACCGGTAGAATTCTATCGGTTAACTCATGATAAATTCTTCCGGTTAGTGTTATCAGGCACTAACCGAGCATTGTAAGAATGGCCCTTAGAGTGTGATAAATAATCATGAACTCTGGTTAAAAGATTATTTAATACTATAAATTATAAAATTCTTATCATCACATTTCAGTATAAAAATATTAAGTAGTATATTTTATAATATTGTTACTATTTCACTATTAACATTAGTAATAGGCACAAAAAGTTGAATTAATTTTTGCCAAAATTATTTTGAAAATGTTATTGTCTGTATTTAATATAATAATGTACTAAAAAACTATAAAAATTTTGAATATCCATAAATCATATTTTATATTAATTTTTGTTAAAATTAAAAAGCTTATTTCTCTAATGTGTTCTATCAAGTCAATTTACTTGCAAGTTGTAAATACGAATGGAAATTTGAAAATTAATAAAATTAGACAGTAATAAATTACACAATTGTTTTCCTATAAAAATTGATTATAATACAATTTTTATTCTTAATATACACGGATTAAATTTCTGTAAAAAATTAATAAAATGAGAATTTTTGTATTGACAAATAATCACTAGATGTTAAATAGTTCTAATGAATAAAGCGTAATTGGTAAACTTATTTTTTTTAAACTTCAATATTATTTTGTTTACCTGCCAGGTTGCAACGTCATCACATGAGGACCTCTTGTTGTAAATCTACGCCGACGAATATTTGACCTCCGTCTTCCTCCAACATCCGTTTCTCCTAATAAACCATTAACGTTAACCTAAACATATCATGTTGAAAAATTTAAATTAAAACTGTAGTCATAAATTAATAAAAATCGATTAAATAAGACTCATACATATTTTGTGTATGAAGACAGTATTTAAATTACTTATACCATTTTAAATACAATWACAACTTGATCACATTTTTACCAGTATCAAAACAGTAACTTTATAATACTGATACACAATTTTTTAAAAGCGGGTAAGTCATAGATGTCGCTCTGCTGGACAGTAGGTTACAAGTGGGCTACTGTAATGGATGGAATTAAATTTGAATCCAATGATATTACATCATTGTATACGAAAAATGATTCTGAGCGGAGACGGTTTATCTGTCTAG